ATGCAGTAAAGCATGCTGGTTATACTCACTGTAGAACTTAAGGGGTTAATCCTCTGTTCCCAATCCATCTACTGATAGTACAGAGCTCTGGGAGGCACTCTGTACATTCTCAGTTTAGTGTGTATTTCAAGAGAGTTTTTTTTTTTCTTTGGGAGGGTGCATGTGATCAGCACAGGGCCAATTAGTACTGTCAAGACAGGGTGTCAGGGGTTATGCAGCCTCATAGGACAGTTAGAGGACAAAACTCCTCCTACCAGCTTTACCCAGTGCTTGGCTGGACACTGATAGAAGTCACAAGACTGCTCTAACTGCTAATTAGAAAATGTATTTAACAGTTTATATGTACTAAAATAATTGCATTTCTGTGTACTATTGAAGACCAGATATAGTGAATGCAGGGTCCGGGGTTTAGGAACACTTTAAAGCCTAACTAAACTCTTATTTTAAAGGAGAACTATAGGCAATTTTTTTTTTTTTTTTTTTTTTTTTTTTTTTTTAAATTTTGGATAGAGTAAGGGAGGGATATAACCCCAGTCAGTTTATTTTTTGCCATCTGTGTCCCATTGGGGAGATTTGCTTTCATTTCCTGTCCCCCAGCCAAACAGGAAGTGGGAAGGAAATCCCTGCAAATTAAGGGAATTCCTTGGGGACCCCAGGTCAACAGAACTACAGTCCGCATTGGGAGATTTCCCCTCTATTGCTTTTCTGTGGACAACAGAATTTGCATTTTTCCTGGGTTTAGTAACACTTTAAACTGAAAGGTCAGTTGGACTTTAGATACTCTTGTCTTTTCAGGCTCTTTAGGAATATCCTTCTTGTTTTCAGTTTTCACTGTTAGGACTGTCCTGCCACAATAATTCCTTACGTCTAGGTTCACACCTATGCAGGTTGCATTTGATGCGTTTCTGCATTGCGCTTTGCATTTTCACACTTGCATTTTTGCTGCATTTTCGATGCGTTTTGCTTTTTTTTTGTCTTTTTTAATTTTTCTTGTTGCTAGGCAGATTTTAAACTCAAAGCGCAGCAAAAATGAAATACATGCTTTTCTGAAACTTTCCCATTGAAGTCTATAAAACCAAAAACGCAACGTTTTGGGTTAAAAAAAAGTCCCTGACCCTTTCCAATAAACGCACCAGGTGAAAGCACGGAGATGTGAACGTGTCCCATAGGAAATCATGTTAAATGGACTGTACAGCGGTTCTGCAAAATGCTGCAGAAAATGATTAGGTGTGAACCTGGGGTAACTGGGTATTTTTTTTTTTGGTCCTGCTGTTGCCACATACTGGAAAAAAAAATGAAAATGTGCCGATGACATCCAGACAACAGGCCTGGAGTCACGTTAACCACGTACGTTTTGATTGGGTAATACGTCACGCACGTTCTTGGGGACGTTTGTTTTAGCTAGATGACCTACGGTACATTGAAACAGTTTGCATCATTTCTCTTTTCTAGATTTTACATAACTTGGAACATTATGTTCTGATAATACTGTGAATGAGACGTTTTGGCAAGTAGCTGGGGTGACTGCTGCTATGTCATCTTGTGTATTTTCCATTCTTTTTCCCCGCTCTGAGATGATGGGCTCTGCTCTGTTACCGAGTGACCTTTGTTTAGAAGTACGTGGGAACATCACTAAGACACTTTGCATATTAGAAACAGTTTTTTTTTCCTCTGAAACAGAAAAATTCTATACCAGCAAAAATCTTTAAAAATGTAATTAGTAAAAATATGTATGTTTGTTTTTTTTTTTGTGTGTGCTTTTTTGTTTTTATAATCTATTTGTATATGTCAAGTGCTTTAAGGTCTCCTTTACCACTTGAGCCTTTTATGACCAAGGAAAATTTGTTTTGCTATTCAGCACTGTGCTGCTTTAACTGACAATTGCTCAGTCACGCAACACTGTACCCAAATGAAATTTAGATACTTTTTTCCACAAAAAGAGAGATTTCTTTTGGTGGTGTTTGATCACCACTGGGTTTTTTGTTTTGTTCAAAGGTAAATGAAAAAAGACCTAACAAATGTGAAAAAAAACAATATTTTCTACTTTTTATAAAACATATCCAATAACATCATTTATTTCTAAATTTACGACAAAATGTATTTTGCTACATGCTAAAACACCGTGTATATTAACTGGTTTGTGCGAAAGTTATAGTGTCTACAAACTATGGTATATATACTGGAATGTACGCAGCTTTAGACACTATACCAGTAATGGCGGTTATGAGCTTCTTGATTGGGTGATCAGCAACTTGTAACTGTGACAATGTAGCATGCAATCTGGTGCTAGCTGACACTGGCCGGGAGGGACACTAACTGACTGACATTGATGTCACTAGTGACACTAAGACAGTGATAAGTGATAATGCTGTACTTATGACACTGGCTGGGTGATGGGAGTGATCAGGAGGGTAGTCAAGGGGTTAACTGTGTGCTTAACAAGTGTATACAAGTGTAATGCTGCTTTTACTCACAGATCTGGCTGCTTTTTTCTCCTTGAAGGGTGTTCTGTGTGTTTGTAAACACAGAATTCTGTGCTGTGATTGGCCACAATCAAAATCATTGGATGTAACTTGCTGACAAACACGTGCTGTGTCCAATCACAGCACAAAACAGCAGGGGGCATGTACACATGCACCCAAAAATAAGTTGCGAGGTACAGGTACGTCATTAAGCCTGGAGATGCCACCTGGTAGCAGTAAATCTACTAGTGGTGGGTGGCAATTGGTTAGGTGAGCTAAAACTTCCCTGCAGCATTTTCCATGTGCAATTATGCAGAGCGCACTTGCACATAATGGCAAAGGGATGCCTAGTGTGGCCTAGTGCATCATCGACTCTTTTGTGCTCTTGCTCAATGCTCTGTCCTGGTCTCCTTCCCAAGGTGACTTTCTACAGCCATTAGGTGGATGCTGATGATGTAACTCCTACACAAAAGTGAATGCTGGACTGCACACATACTGCGGAAGTTTACTTAAATTTTAAAAATTCCTAGCAGACATATAAAGGAGTGAACACTTTTTCTCCACCCCCACATGACAACCCTATATGCCTGAGCGGGGATTATCAGGCACCAACACCATCTCATCTAGGAGGAAGGTAAGTGAATCGCATGCCCAAATCCCATACCAGAATGACTTTTTTGTAAATTCCCAAGAGAAGGGTTTTTTTTTTTTTTTTGGGGGGGGGGGGGGGGGGTAACTCACCACTTGCCTACTGGGCCAATCTGAAATCACATGTAAAAATGAAATCACATGAAACCTTTTAAAAATGTGTGTGTGTATTTTGTGTTTTTTATTTCTGCATGTTACTTTAATTATTTTGGGGTATGGGGATTAAAATGTTAAAACTAGCCTGGAAACCTTTTAATACCATTTTGTGTGTGTGTGTGTGTAAAATATGCTGTTATGTGTGTGTGTTTTTTTTATATATGCCCCTGCCATTAAGTGACCTTTCAAGTTGTATTTTAGAGGTTTTTTTTTTTTGGGGTATGGGGATTAAAATGTTAACACACACACCACACCACAACAGTAAAATCAGTCTGTATAATCCCACAAGCTTTAACCAGTGCTCTGCTGGACACTAAGTCACAAGACTGCTGTAACTGCTGATGAGAAAAGACATTTAGCAGTTTATATTTACTAACATAAGTGCATTTCCATGTTGTGTGTACTGTGGGAGACCAGATATAGTGAATGCAGGGTCCAGGGTTTAGTAACACTTTAAGAGTTAGAACTTCTATCAGGTTTTAATTGCAATATTTGTCCCGGTTGGACAGATTTCCCATTATTTTTTGTGCTAATAACACTTTAAGAAGTAAAAAAAAAAAAATTCTCAACATGGACTCAGACTAGAAGAGGGAGAGCTTTAGCCAGTCCATTATCTAGCTAAAATAGTGATTTAATCTAAACTCCAACCCCAAAAGCATACACTTAACCCTAGATTGACTATTGTACAACCAGCCTACCTCCCTGCTGAACCGTCCGAATTTCGATCCATGTATGGTCATCTTTAAACTGAATCTAACACTTAGCCTTAGAGAAACTGAAACTTGAACTACTGGGCAGCAAAAGTGTTATCAGTCCTACGTTCTTTACTCTTTAGGGAATTCAGTTGAAACTAATACTCCTAAAATTGCAATGCTTCATTTAGATATGTCTGTAATATATTATTAATTATGACTGACTGTCATAGATTGCATTCAGTTAGTAGGAAGGACAGCTTCAGGGCAATTTGCCATTTAATGGCTTACATTCCTTTGCAATTTAAATATCATTAACTCCTAATTAATGTCATTTTTCTGTGTACCTTTGAAATAAGTAGGAGCTAATTCTTAGCTATCCACATTTACATTATTAAAGCGAAAAAGTCATTATCATTCTGTAGCGCTACTCTTGTAGGGGCCACTTGATAATGCTTGTCCCCAGTGGCTGCCCTGACCTTGCAACACTCCCGACACCTCTGAGACTCTGGGTTCAGACTTATCTCAACAGTATGAAATAATGCAAGAGACACGATTCTTTAGTAACAGCTCTATATTAGGCTAGTTCAAAAGAGTAGACCACAGGATGAAGGTTTGGGAGGTATGTCCCCAGTTAATGCATAAAAGCAAAACACTGATAAAATGGAAATAACCATATAGCAACGGTTAACTGATTATACGGTCACAAATGGTACATTGTAACTGCAACACTAGCAGCAGAAGGGGGAAATAAAGGCTTGTTGACTTACCAGCTCCCTCTGAGCCACCAGCATTACAATAGGGAATGCAAAGAATTGTGTGTGAGATAGGTAGATAGATAGATACAGATATATATATATGTATGTATGTATGTATGTGTGTGTGTGTGTGTGTGTGTATATATATATATATATATATATATATATATATGTACACACACACACTATTTCACCAAAGGTATTGAGACACCCCTCCAAATCATTGGATTCAGGTGTTCCAATCCCCTCCATGGCCACAGATGTATACAATCAAGCCCCTAGGCATGCAGGCTGCTTCTACAAACATTTGTGAAAGAATGGGTCACTCTCAGGAGATCAGTGACTCCAAGCGTGGTCCCGTGATAGGTGGTCACCTGTGCAATAAGTCCATCCGTGACATTTCCTGGCTACTAAATATTCCACGGTCAACTGTTAGTGGGATTATAACAAAGTGGAAGCAACTGGGAACAACAGCAACTAAGCCACCAAGTGGTAGGCCACGTAAAATGACAGAGCGGGGTCAGTGCATGCTGAAGCGCACAGTGCGCAGAAGTCACCAACTGTCTGCAGAGTCAATAGCTAAAGACCTCCAAACTTCATGTGGCCTTCAGATTAGCACAACAGTGCGTAGAGAGCTTCATGGAATGGGTTTCCATGGCCGAGAAGCTGCATCCAAGCCTTACATTACCAAGTGCAATGCAAAGTGTGGGATGCTGTGGCGTAAAGCATGCCGCCACTGGACTCTAGAGCAGTGGAGACGTGTTTTCTGGGGACAAATCACACTTCTCTGTGTGGCAATCTGATGGATGTGTCTGGGTTTGGTGGTTGCCAGGAGAATGGTACTTGCCTGCCTGCATTGTGCCAAGTGTAAAGTTTGGTGGAGGGGGGATTATGGTGTTGGGTTGTTTTTCAGGGGTTGGGCTTGGCCCCCTAGTTCCAGTGAAGGGAACTCTTAAGCTGTCAGCATACCAAGGCATTTTGGACAATTTCATGCTCACAACTTTGTGAGAACAGTGCACAAAACAAGGTCCATAAAGACATGGATGAGCGAGTTTGGGGTGGAGGAACTTGACTGGCCTGCACAGACTCCGTACCTTAACCTGATAGAACACATTTTGGGATGAATTAGAGCGGATACTGTGAACCAGACCTTCTTGTCCGACATCAGTGCCTGACCTCAGAAATGCACTTCTGGAAGAATGGTCAAACATTCCCATAGACACACTCCTAAACCTCATGGACAGCCTTCCCAGAAGAGTTGAAGCTGTTATAGCTGCAGACGGTAGGCCAACTCAATATTGAATCCCATGGAGTAAGACTGGATGCCATTAAAGTTCATGTGCATCTAAAGACAGGCATCCCAATACTTTTGGCAATGTACTGTGTATATATACTCTGGCATAAATGGGTATAGACATCCTAATTTGAATAACAATGGCTTAAGAGATCCCTTTAACTAGAAATAGCAACTTGAGTCCTGTTTAAAGTTCCTGATGTGATAGTAGCCATTGTCTTCTGCTAGCAATGGTGGGGCCCATATACAGTAGTGAGTAATGGTAATTCAATGAAGATAACAGATCGGCTGTGGTAAATGCCCAAAACAAAGATTTCTTGGTAATGAGCTAGAAAGGTATCTGCATGCAGTGTCTCTAGAGTGTTATCAGAAAGACATCTGCCCACTCACCAATTCTATGGATAACATGGCCTCCTAGGAACAGGGTTCTTACACAGGCTCTTGGCTATTTGCAGAGAAGTGCAGAGTTACTGCCTGACAGCCTGTTAGCATGCCAAGCAGAGATGGCTGGCTAAAGACTGGATAGTGACAGTCCCGATGCAGAGATGTTCATGCAATCCTGTTGTGGCGATTGGTGTCACCGCTGTTCTGAACTGGCATGCAGTGTCCCACAGTAGTAGCCAGCAATCTGTCACTGGCGGAGAACGGCAGTCCTCCTGTGTTCATCTCTGAAACCTGCACCCCAAAAGCAAGCCAATTCCTTGCTATACAATATTTCTTCTCTTCCAGCAACCTTCTAGTTCCCCAGCTTTCTGATAGTTGTAGTTCAATCAGCATTTAGAAATAAAGTTTGTTTTGGCTATAGACTATAGGTCCCAGCATCCCCTGCTGTCAAAAGAACTGGATTCGCTCTGCGACAGGAAGTGCTGTAGCAGTCCCAGTACTGGGCACTAAGGGGAAAGGATTAACCATAGGCACATCTGTAAATGTCCCTGAATGGCATAATGATATTTCCGGCTCCTGGCTACATCTCATTATTTTGAGACAGCCCTAACTTCTGTCTTGTCAAATTTCAAATTTTAAGAAATCATAAGTGTACAAACTGTTCCCACCCATACAAGACATTGAAACAACTCCAACCGACATCTTGAAATTCATGGTAGCAGCTTTACATAAAGTACTTAAAGATGTTTCCCTCATTCTGTAAAATGTATTTTTCATCACTTTCTGTCCCAGTCATAATGATCACAAAGGTCCTGGTTGACCTAACAATAAAAAAAAATAAAAAAAAGGTCCATCTGTGGCCAGCTTTACTTGCTGGCTTTATTTGTTTTCTCTTGGGAATTTCAGCACAGAGATCTGCTTGTGACCCACGATAAATGCATTGTAGCCTCCCGCTCAGGCTAACGAGTTCCGATGAAGGTCTATTTAAGCTGGCAGTTTGATACTTTAGCACCCACCCTTAGTTGAGCTCATTAGCTTTAGCTTGCTTCAAGAACACCCAGTAGTTTACTGAAGGGTAAATTCTTGGTCTTACCCTTCCCATCCCTTATCATGGTGTGTTAATCAGCTAAGGTGGTATTTCAAGCAATAGTAAACATCTCTGAGCTCTTGAAGTGGTTATTGGTCCATTGCAGTATCTGCAGTTTATAAAAAAAATCTTTGGGATCCTTTGGCCATACTTTTTTTTTATCACCATAGCAAATTGCAGAGTTTCTACAAATGGCACGTCTCAGTGCGAAACAAATTAGGGTTGATGCATACTGCATGTCTTGAAGCCATTGCAACTCAAACAAGCATCAATTCTTTACCACCTGTTATTCTCAGTGAGAGATCTGCCTGTGTATGGATACCCTACCTATCTGTCTGCTCATTTGTCAGTATGTCTGTGTTTGTCTGGTTGGCACAGATGTCTGCCGCACAATGGCTGGCCTTGGAGACTTTACAAACATGGCAGGTTGCCTATCCGATAAAATAAATGATTTAATTACAGGGAATCCTAATTAGCATGGCCGTGTTTCATCAACATCTTTCTGAACACAACAAAACATCAAAGCTTTCTTTCATTGTGTTTATCAGTAGTGAAGCACTCCTTTATGAAAAGCAGAACCTGAAATATGGATATGGCTCATCCAGACGGAGGTGGCAGGACACTGTGTGCTAAGAGCCTAATGAGCTCCTTCATCAATCAGCTGGGCGGCTGTCACTTCCACTTCCTACCATTATCTCAGCCATCCCTGGTATAATTAGTTGAGGAAAAGGGACACTGATGACTACATGAAATGTTTATAGATGGCGCTTTCTCATGATGAAGACATCCATAAAATGATTAGTATAGATGTTCTTTCCTGCACAGTGATATAGAAGCAGAGGTTGGGTTACCCAATGGTGGACTTATATATTACACATCACTTTACAAAATTCATAGATTTATTCACATCAGTTCATGGGAAACCAAAGGATATCAGGGTCTAATGTCCCTAAATACATGCTGTTAACTAGGACCAGTTGCCTTTCAGTTTTTTTAAGGATTTTTGGAGGAAAGGACATGTGGATCACCATAATACTGAAGCCTTCCATAGGGCAGTTTTATGCTGGCACATTTTAGCAGTGAGAGATCAATGCTGGTAGATTTCCATTACTATACAGCAGCTAATGGATGATGCAGTTTTCTTTCCTTCCCTCATTGGTGGAAGGAATGGAAATGTCTCAATTTCCCCATGAGCATAGTCAGCATTGATGGAGGAATCCCTCCCGCAGCGCTGTTGTGTTCTGCCAGCAGTGATTGAATTAAAAAAATCTGACATGCTTTTGTGCTGAAATTGTTTGATGGATCAACTTCAGTGCAACCTGCCTGCCCATAGATGGATAAAAATCTCCTTTGGTCCATACTGGATCGGATGATATTCGGTTCGTCTATGGCCCGATTCACCCTCTCTGTAACAGGAACTATAATCCTGACCTTTACACTTACTATTCCTTCAACCCTCACACTAATCTTGACCTCTCCTATAACACGGACTCGTTACCTGTAGCCCTAACCTCAATACTCCTTGAAACCCCAAAACCCCCACCACCACCAGCCTACTGTAACCCCAGCCTCCTAAAGTTAGCATTTTGCTTTCAGTTTCTCATACAGTAGTCCCTGTTTCATGCCACAGCTCTCTACCCCAGTGTTTCTCAACCTTTTTTCAGTCAACGCACCCTTTAAATTATGGACAATCTCAAGGCACCTTCTAAAATTATGGACCGTCTCAAGGCAACCCATTCTAAAATGTAAAAAAATCTATTCTCATAGTTTTACATAATGCATCAACATACACACATGTAGGACACCCAACATTAAAGATGGTTTATTCTTCCAAATCAAATACACACTGATACTGACTAGTATTCTATTGTTTCTATTCTCCTTAATTTTTTTTCTCCATCGCTCAGCTATTGTGACCCCATCGCTGACAGAGAGAGGCAGGGCAAGGTCAAACAAGGTTGCTGTGCAAGCAACCCACATCCTCCTAATCAGCTGATGTCATTGGTGTGGTTGGGATGACGGCGACTAAAAGGTCATAATGGTGCACAATGAAAACCTGTGGTTTTGTGTAACTAAAAGGCAGACTTGATTCACCTCTGGCTTGTATACAGTGGGGCAAAAACGTATTTAGTCAGCCACCAATTGTGCAAGTTCTCCCACTGAAAAAGATGAGAGAGGCCTGTAATTGGCATCATAGGTAGACCTCAACTATGAGAGACAAAATGAGAAAAAAAATCCAGACAATCACATTGGCTGATTTGGAAAGAATTTATTTGCAAATTATGGTGGAAAATAAGTATTTGGTCAATATCAAAAGTTCATCTCAATGCTTTGTTATATATCCTTTGTTGGCAATGACAGAGGTCAAACGTTTCCTGTAAGTCTTCACAAGGTTGGCACACACTGTTGCTGGTATGTTGGCCCATTCCTCCATGCAGATCTCCTCTAGAGCAGTGATGTTTTGGGTCTGTCGCTGGGCAACACGGACTTTCAACTCCCTCCAAAGGTTTTCTGTGGGGTTGAGATCTGGAGACTGGCAAGGCCACTCCAGGACCTTGAAATGCTTCTTACGAAGCCACTCCTTCGTTGCCCGGGCGGTATGTTTGGGATCATTGTCATGTTGGAAGACCCAGCCACGTTTCATCTTCAATGCCCTTGCTGATGGAAGGAGGTTTGCACTCAAAATCTCATGATACATGGCCCCATTCATTCTGTCCTGTAGATGGATCAGTCGTCCTGGTCCCTTTGTGGAGAAACAGCCCCAAAGCATGATGTTGCCACCCCCATGCTTCACAGTAGGTATGGTGTTCTTTGGATGCAACTCAGCATTCTCTCTCCTCCAAACACGACGAGTTGTGTTTCTACCAAACAGTTCTATTTTGGTTTCATCTGACCATATGACATTCTCCCAATCCTCTTCTGGATCATCCAAATGCTCTCTAGCAAACTTCAGACGGGCCCGTACATGTACTGGCTTAAGC